TAACATTGAATGAAGTTAAAAATTCCCTGCCACATTTCTACCTTCTGCTTCACTTCATCCTCTCCCAGAAATAGATTTATATCTGCAAGTGCTTTTGCTGCCAAAACTCTTCAGGCTTCCAAACTTAATTCTGACTGCAGAACAATGTGTGGAATTGCCTCTGGCACATCTTTGCTACCTTGGCTTTCATATCCGATGGAAAAGTTCATTTTAGAAGAAGAAGAATCAGAGTCCTCAGAGACATAGACTCTTCTGCTATACATCTTAGTCTTGCAGTCTTTTCTATGACCAATCTCATTGGCAAAATTATGCCTTGACATTCCAGGTTCCCTGGTATTTGGGATAGATGCTAGACCTGAAGAAAATGTTCTGCTGCGTTTTACTTCTGTGGTAGAGTTCCTTCTGTGATAAAGTGAGGATCCATCTTTTTGTCCATCCAAATTAAATTTACCTTGACTCCAGAACATAGATGTATTACACACTAACGCTGCTTTGTTTAAATCCAACTGTGGCTTTTGTTCGCCTGTGGCAGAAGATTCCTCACCACTGTTCTGCTTAAGTTTGTTGCACAGTAATATCTGAGCAGGTACTGTCCATGCAGTCTCTCCCTGATCTAAAAGAAACTCAGTTCTCTTTAAATATGGCTCACTATAGCTTAGACGCCTTTTCAGATGAGTAAGAGGCTGAAGGCATTCAACATTCCTTCTTTTCCAAAGAGGATCACATTCATGTCCCAGGGAGAAAAGAGAATCCTGGGTCTCGAAAGTGGACGAGTGGGTGTGGGAGGAGTCTGACGTATCACTGTCCTGCCTTGCGAGTTCTCTGTCTAGCTGTGTGGACACCAACTGAGAGACAGTCTCTTCAATTTCAGCTGAGAGATCTGGTATATCTAACAATTCTGCCTCTATCACTTGTCTGTTTTCAGCCAAATCTAGCAACAATTTGCACACTAGATGAATAAGTTTTGGCACGTGTTTGAGATGTCTACTCTCATAACCATGGAGCAGATGTCTCTGACGGGTCAGGTACTGGGACAGTGTCACTGTGTGTGCCTTGGGCTCACAGCATGCAAATACATTTCTCAGAGGAACCAAAAACTGAGTGAATTCTCTGATGCATAGTAACTGCCCTCTAGTCTGAATAGAATTAGGCCTTTTTGCTCTGACAAAAAGAATTGCTTGATCAGCACTCATTCTTGTTGCAAAAACTAAGTAGCAAGCTATTAGAACACCTGGAAAATATAAAGACAAGCATTAGTTGAAGAACTATCAGACTAAAACAAATACTCAGTGGAACTATAGGATAAAAATTAATATAGGTAAAGATACAGGCTTTATGCCCTCTATTAAGTGATGCTGTTACCTAAGTATAGTTGCATTTGTTGGACCACAAGATAGTAAACCCATTCTCACTACACCTTCAGTGAGAGCTGGTTTCTCACCACAGCATCTCTAGGAGTTCCATCATTTGTGAACACAGGAGCAAAAAGGTCTTGAAAGAAGTAAATGAAATTTTAGCTGCTCCACCAAATCTACCTGATCTAACAGTGAGTGGCAGGTTTGTAAACATGTAATAAATACTGGACAATGAAAGTGTACTAGGTGAATTTTTCCTATCAAAAAGAAACTGTCCCATTTGAATGTAAAAGAGAATTATACAGATTCAAAAATTTCCTAACCTTACAGGTTTCTGTTTTTAATATATTAAAACTGATCTCCTTTAGCCATTCAGATCATTTTCACAAATTTGTTCAGCATTTTTAACCATTTTATAGATGTACATCTTGCAGTGATATAGAATCTAAATAAATTATTAATAATTTATAACCAGAGACTGTTTTGCATTTTTAGAAGAACAATTCTGTTGATCTTGCAGTAGAGCACATACCTGTCCGACCAAGTCCTGCATGACAATGAACAGCTACCCTCCCTTCCTGTAAGGCGAAAGCCATGACTTTTACCATATCAAGTATAGTAGTGAGAGATGCCACTCCATAATCCTTCCATCCAAAATTATAAAAATAAACTAAAATAAAAAGAGGGAGAGTTATTTTCTGCCGTACTGAATGTGAAATTTTCAGTACTATATGCAGAGGAGAGATGACTAATAATAAATGATAGTACTAAAATTGCATAATGGATCTCAGAATCTGACTACATATTGTTTGCAAGAGATTATTTTCCCATTTCAGTGTACACTTGCTATTGAAATTTGATAAATACATGAAGCTAGCAAAGAATTGTCAAACTAAAGTTCAGCCAGAATGTAAAAGGTGTAACAAAACTGAGTGATTCATACAAAAATTACTGAGCTATATATAGGTAAAGGGTAATTTTTTCTTTTTAGAAATAAAAGCACTTCTTCAGTCAAAAGGTGTTTCTTACAGAGAGGCACTTTTTCTCATCTCACCATAATATGGAAATACAAAAATACTGTCAATACAAATGACCTCAAATGAAATAACCTTTTATAGCCTAGGTAAGAAAACACGAATGTACCAGTATCTGAAACACCATTAATGTTTTATGTATTTGTGAACTCAGAAGAAGAAAAATTTAACTAGCTGTTGCCCTTTCTTTATTCTAAACACCTGAACATAAACCCTCCATCTCACTCTACATATATACAATCTTCAATAACGTGTTATTCATTCTTGATTTATTTGCCAAGTTTCATGTTTACATCCCATTTTGTGCAATGTTTCTTACATAGCTGCTTTTAACACACAAGAACTCAAGTAAAAGTATCTTTAAGTGCCAAAATCAATAACTAATGAGGAACAGCAGCAGGAGTGAACTTACTTCCAGCCTCCATAAAAGCTTCAGGAAGGTAGGTGAAGCCGCTTTCTTGTTCCAGTGGATTCCCACAGCTCGCATGCTCCCCAGGACGCTGAAGGTTAATTATGGTTTTTATGTCACATCTTAAGGAAGGAATAGATGAGTCAAAGTATTATATGCAGCCAAAATCTCATTATCCCTTATTTTCTGAAACAAACATTTATTCTTAGTGGAGAATAAATCTTTACCTGTATATCGTTAAAATGAAAGGATCTTTATCAACAATCCAAATCTATGTTGAAAGAGAAAATGGATCAGGAATTACACTAGTAACACCTACAATAAATAATGACTAAATTTGTTACCTTTCAAACTGTTCAATGATGTTGTACTTTTCAATTAATTCTGTTGAGGGTCGAGCCATAGCCAGTATGTTATCTGTTATCCTGAGAAATTAGAAAAGTAGGTAATAATGTTGTTATTAATAATTTTCTGGGTATGAATCTACCAAAATAAGAATACCATGTTATATTCAAGAAAGACAGAAATACCTTGCTGATTAACTAGAAATTATTTTTCAAAAAATTCTACTATCATATAGTATTAGTGATAAATCTTGTTAAGCTGATACAGATACGACATATCAAAAGACCATTACTGGAACTGTTTAAATGCGAGGCCAATGAACACATTAAAAAATTCCTTTGAGCAGAAATCTGGACTCAGATCTCTGTTTGGCCCTTTAAGGTTTGTATGCTTCTGAATAGCATTTGCTGTGACAAAAAAATCAGTAAGAATGTAAAGATACATTTCATTTCATGTGAATATTACTGCATATGAATATGCTTTTGAACACATACCTTACATTATTTCATCTTCGGTAAATGTTTTTACTTTTAAATTCTATTATGAACACCTTTTAATTAATTTGCATTTTAAACCTTAGCAAGAATTGCCTATAACCCAGAATAGGTTTTTTATAATTCATGACAGATAGGTGTTTATTCTTTTGGATCTGAACCAAACTTATTGTAAGTCAACAGAAATCTTTCATCATCTTTACTGGGCTATGTACAATGGCCAGTATGGTTTACTGTTAAGTTGTAATTCTGAATCAAGCTATCATTATGTTTTACACTTAACTTAGCAGTAGCTGATTTAAAAAAAAACTCATTATTTTCCTTTGAATTCTCCCTTTTAATAAATGCAATTGATGCAGTTACATTTAGTGAGAGTAAATGCTGCTTATTACCAAGAAGAGAAGAGCCCTTTAATGGCTTGCTCCTGGTCACTCCATCGAGCTGGGTTTTCATACTTGCAAGCACGTCCACCGCATGCCATTGAGCACTGCATGTGACCAGGAATGACATGGCGAAGGCGCTCCCCGACTTTAGTGTATTTTGCTGTCGGACGCCTCGAACTTCCTAGAACACAGGCAAAAACAGATTTAGTAAGGAAGCTTAGTAATTCATCTCCACCTTAAAAGTATCGGTTCAACCTTAAATCGATGAAGTTACAAACAGCATAAATATATGGAATATATATTTAAGGCTCATTTTTCAACACAGACTTGAAGTAAGGATTCTGAGAGGAAAAAATTGCTTGCATTACTGCAGAAGTTGTTTTTTCTCACAGTAACTTTGTTTTTTGTGGTGAAGTTAGAGGTGTGTGATATCCTTTGCAACAGAAAAAAATGTCACGGTCCTCTTCCACCCGAAGTCAAAAATCCTTAGCCATATACTTGGTGTGTGTGAACGTGTGCTTCTATTTTATCTGTTCTTTGTAACTGAGCTGTTAGAGTGAAAAGCATATATTAATCCTTGAATAAGGAATCAGTGAACAAAATATAAAATACAGGAATAAAAATTAAAACCCAGTATTTTATGCATGTATATAAAATATAGTTAACAACAAAAGTATATTAATTTAATACCAAGAAAGTACCCAGAACTGCCAACAGTCTTAATGAAAAGCACTTTACTTTTTTTTTCAGGAAAAGTTGCATCCAGCTCCTCAGGGCTCAGAGACGATACCGCCACCATAACCCGGTGAGTCGATGATGAGAGTACCTCTACAACGGAGCTCCGGCGCCTCTGGATTATGCGAAGAAGGGGATCGGAGGAGGAATGCCTCCGACCCTGGAAAAAGTTGCTAAAAATACTCACTGCCGAACGCCTTCGGGGTGAACCCTGCATGACTGACCAGCCCGAGCTACCGTCTAGGAAGGCTGCTGAGGACGCACTGATAGGAAATCCAAGTTGCTCAGCACTGAAGTTGCGGAGAGCTGTGCATCCTTCTGTATGCTCCAGCAGCTAGTCAGCATGGGCTGAGCTGTCTCCATAGTAACTAACAATGAATGCACTGCTGCCAGCTATCCTTGGGGCTGCTCCATTCTATAGGAATTGAGTCTGTTTGGGACAAACTGTTCCGCTGCTGGATGAAAATAGTTGCATTTCAAGTAGATAATTTTGAAAACGGACTGGGAACAACCAAAACATTTTCCATAAACAATGTATTTAGTTAGTTGTAAATAACATGCATTCAGAACTCGCTAAGACACAGAATACTAGATTCAAAAGAACAATCAAAATGTAGCTGGAGGCTCTGCTGCCTGAAAAATCTGTAAGTACATTATACTCCCCCACCTCTTGGTTTAATATTCCCCAACCACCTCTCCTCCTCCACTTAGTTGCTCCAAAATGCATCATTAGCTCTGTAATAATTGGGATTAGTGTGTTCCTACTGAAACGGTTCAGAACATGATGAATTGTAGACTGTTCGCTCTGGATCATTCATATCTTCTAACAAAACACAATTTGTTATTCAAAACAAAAGGCTTATTTTTTTTCAGGGCACAGCTTTTTTATTAAGCAAAGCTGTGAGCCCTGCAGACTGAGATAAACCAGATCATGGGGAGGAGATGTATCAGTTGAGTGCTTTAGGCTTTTGAAGGTAGGTATTAGGCGGCAAATTGCCTCCCACTTTGCTTCCAGTGTGCTAAGAAGGAGAATGAGCTGGCCAGAAAGATTGCAACACTCTCAAAAGCACAAAATTCTCATGCAACTATGTGGAGAACAGACTATAGCAATACTACGAAAACTCTGTCATCCCATTGTCTGTGCATTAGACTGCATGTTAAAGAGAGAGAAACTGGGGATATCAAGAAAACTCACCATAATTTGTTCAATAAGCAGATTAATCCCATTGCATTTTCCTAAGGATATATACTATCTTTGGTCTGTGTTTGACATTTCTTTTTGTACTACAAAAACAGTAGCTCTTACAGAGGAATTTGCATAAGAGAAAGCGCTCTTCTGATAAAAATTCATCAGGCAGAAATCTACCATTTCTTCTAGGTACTGAACGGGAATTGAGTGACTGAATTTTGAATACTGCACCCCAGCTCTTAAGGAGACACGGTAAGGTTTGCTGTAGATACCAGGCCTGAAACATCAGTAGTGACGTCATATGAGAAAAGGAAAATTTAAAAGCTGACTCTCAAAACGCTGACTATTCTAATTATAAATAAAGCTGATATCAAGAGGTGAGGAAATATTTAAATACACTTTTATTTTGGGGGTTGGGTGGAAGAGAAAGGAGATGAAAAAGGCTATTTCAAGTGCTGCCTTTATCCAAGAAACATGAAAAATGTTTTCTAATTAATTATATTGCTTTCTTATATTTAATTCTTTTTCTCTTTCTCTTCCCAGAAACTTTTCTTCACTATATATCAAATGATAGAGGAGCCAGAAATGAGCAAAATAAAATGTTGCACATCATTATTTTCCTACTGAATCTACCAGGATTTGCAAGTACTCACCGAAAACATAAGAAAGAACTACATCCTATAAGAGTTTAAATACTTCATTAGAAAGGGAGTTTTGCTGAAGGCGTGTTTGTATTTTCAGAGAGCTAGGCAGTTTCTGAACACAAAAATCATAGTTTCCTCAATTAAGAGATCTGACAATATGAAAGCTACAGGAAAGCTCAACATATTAACGCATCGTGGTGATGATAAAGTAATGCAGGTTGGTTTTGTTATAGACATTTTATGTTTATAATTGGGGATAATATTTCTGGGTTTTTTAATTTTCTATGGAAATTTTTTTTTTTCAGAATTTCTCTAAGCACTTTTTATGAATGGCATATCAAAGAAAAATTATTACCTGAACTCATATGTGCAAGATATAGACTGCTCTCTAGCAACGAAGAATACGGTAGTTCATTTTGCAGCAAAACTCCTGCAGCCATTGCAGTACCTGTTGAAAAAGTAATAAGTTCACTGAAAATCTACAACAGAAGGTCAAAAATGCAAAATAAAGCTGAATACCTGGCACCTGGTTATAGAGTTGTCCAAGGCTTAAGATTTAGGCAGTCAGACATAGACTATACTTTCTTTTTGGTGTGCAGTCATCTTAAAATTCAACAGCTTCACTGTCTGTCCTAGCAATTAGAAGTTTAGTCGACTGTGTGTTTCAAGCTCTAGAGTTTGGCTGATTATGTACTTTATAGCTGTGTGTTTTATATGGACAAGAATCACTCAACTAAAAGCATTTAATGTAATGCCATCTTGATTTTCTCAAATTCTTAAAAGTAAACATACAACCAGAGATCTCAAACTGAAATCTTGCAAGGGGCAGTTTCAGCAAAGCTAATAATATCATAATGGCAGCACAATTTCTAGATCACACCATTTATAATTTTAGTTGATACTTGCCAAACAGATTGTCCACAAGCTATATGCCTTCTCTGCTCTCTTCCCTCCGCTCCTTGTTTTTAGTCTGTTGGCATCATACAGATGTCACATATGTGACAATTCTCCTCTAACAAGAAAACTGAATACAAGAGTCTGTCCAAGCAGAAAACAGTTTTTTCTCATGCTTTAATACAATTTCTAATACAAGGTAAGTCCTACTCTGAAGACCTTCTATCTGACAAAAAGAAAGCTAAAGGAAAGCTGTAAATGTGAACACATTAATCAGTCACTGTGATGTTTAAATAAACCATTTACATGGATCTTCAGTGGAAATTCTTACCCAGAAACCATTCTGTTTCTCTTATCTCCATAGGAAAATAGTTGCAAGTACAACAAAAAAGTATTTTTTTATACCAAACTAAGTATGTCTCTGCTATATGTATAACTATAGAAACTTTATTAAATAGACAACCTTAGGTCCCAAATTCTGCAAAACCAGTATTAGGATTCAGCAGCATAAAGTGTTTTAAAAGACAGATTTGCTAAAAAAAAAAAAAAAAAAAAAA